CCAGCACCCTGTGCATGCCAGGCAAGCACGCTACCGCTTGAGCCACATCCCCAGCCCCTGGGCTAATATTTTTAATTTGATCAAAGACATTGATTTCATAAAAATATGCTATCAAGTCTCACAAAAGGGGAAATTAAAAATGAGAATAATTACATAAAAGTTAAATAGCTGGTTTGTTATTAAAAATAACTCCACAAAGAAAACAAAAGTCTCAATGGTTTTACTAATGAATTCTACAGAATTCAAGAAATAGATAAATGTCACTTTTACAGAAACTTTTTCAAAGTTACAAAAGAAGGAATGTTCTCCTAGAAATTGGTTGAGATTTGTATGAACTGCAAAAAAAAATGCAGAAAAAAATCATAGGCGAATTATCATATGGGGTCCCACATTTTTATTTTATTCCCAAGTTGATTCCAATGTGCATTCTCAAAGTAGCAATAAATTAAAATATAAGGAAGGTACCAGCAAGGTGTAAGAGGACACTATCAGGAAAAACATATTTCTACGGTTAGTTAATATTTAAAAGTCAATTTTAATTTAGCAAATTAAGATATATAGTTAATACCATTCCTTATAAAATTCCTAGAGAACTAAGGAGAGAACTTTTGGCATAGTGAAAATAATCTACAAAATAATCCTACAGTAAATATCACTGAATGTACTCTTTTGAGTATGAAAAAGATCAGCTATAATAAAAGATCATCTATAGTTATAAAAAGTTAGAAAATGCTATTAATTTCTCAGTTTCAACAAGTATCTGAGACTTATGAGGAATATCAAAAATAGCTCATATGTCAAATTTACAAAGGGGATAATTTAGAACAGCTTTCAAATTTTTCAACATCTCACTCACTCTGAGAACATAAAAATGTTTAGAGGCAAGTAAAGCAATTCATTGATAGGGGAGGAGTGATCAGGCTGATATCTAATTTTCAAAGCTATTTTGCACATGTAACACAATAGAGCACTATTCAGGATTCAGAGAACAATAAAGAATGATGATCAAATTTTATATTTAGTTAAGATGTCATTCACATATAAATAAGATTAAGATGTTTACAAAAAGAACTAAGAGACTAGAGACCCTTGAAGTGACAATTACAAAAAGAAGATGATTTTGGAATTCAACCATCTAATAATTGAATAAAAAATAAAAATTACTTCAGATAACATTATACTTGCACAATGATTACAGAACATAAATGCTATAGGTATTGACAATATGTATAATAAAGAACAAAAATGATTACATAGGAAGGTAGGTGAGAGAAAATTAGGGTAATCTATCTCAACTGTCGTGGCAATGATTATTAATACTATGTAAAATCAAAATGTGGCAATATTTTTAAAAATCTCAGAATTCATAATGTTAGTCAAAATTATTCCTTTTAAATTAAAGACATATTTCAGGAAATTTTATTTCTTACAGTGCAAACATTTATCTTATATGGAGTCTCTACACTCACTAATCTTATCTATTATTTCTAAATTTACCCACATTGGGGTTTTTAGCCTTCACAGTGCTTCAGAATCAACAAAAATCTTCTAAAAGCTTCATATGTACAGGGAATATTCCAAATATTCAGTTTTAATTGACCTGTGGTGGGGTCCCATATTTGTTTTTTATTCCCAAATTGACTCCAATGTGCATTCAGACTTGAAAAATCAGTACTGTGGATCAAAAAAAATTGAAACACATCTGGAAAGAATTATAACAATTCTACACATTTATATTAAAGAAGCCTATGATTTATATTTTGAGGGGCAGTCTTATACAATGATACTTAATATGAACCCTGAAGTAAACTGCTTGGACTCAGTTTCCAGCTGCACCCTTTCCTGGGAAAAATTAATAGACCATTCTGTTTTAGTTTTCCTGTTAAATAATATTAATATTTAATTACAAACATTAAATAAATGAAGATATATAAAATACTGGAGTCAGGCAAGAAAACATCAGATGGCAAATCAATGTATATTTATTTATGTTTTTGTCTATATTTAAAAACACTATATATATATATATATATATATACTTATTATGTATATAAATATACATATTTATCAATTTTTTTCAGTTCAGTGAGCAACTGAACTGAAATCAGGGGCAACTTTAAATAGTACATAAAAGATAAATGTTACCAAAATACTCAGAACTCTCCAAAACAAATAGTATTTTTCATTTATAATAACTATAATTGTCACAATGAAAAACTGTTGAAATAAGTGTAAGTCAAACAGTATGCAGAGCTCCTTTGAATAGACAGTACAAAATGCTCCAATTTTAGGATTTTGTTACCAGTATAGTTAAATGAAGGTTCTTAATCCTGTCAGAAATTCCACTTTACACTACAAAGTAGTATTTGCTGCTCTCAGAGTCACCAGATAATTACAGGATGATAAAATTTCTATTAGCAATCCAATAAAGCAATTGAAGCAAAGGATCCAACAGAATATGACAGAGGATACTTTATTACCGGCATAACCTACTGAAGAAGACACTGTCACTAAAGTCTGAAAAAATGGTTAATTGGTAAAAAAGTTAACTACACTGTAGTGCTAATGATAAAACAACTTAACTTCACATAATACAAACAGCTACTGGAAACAAAAGGCTGGGTATATAAGAATAAATTTACCTCCTGGCAGTTACTGTCCCATATTTACATGAGACAGATGCCCATTTACTACATAGAAGATGTTTTTTATTGATTTTAACAACTTTTTTAAAAATTACCACATTCCATGGAGTTTCAAACATGGGATGAATCTCTTTTTATATAAGTAAGGATAAACTATAAACTAATAAGCTAATGGATACTCAACTATCTGGAATAAGGTAGAAAGTGTCTAAAACCTGCATGTTCCTCTTTATTTATTTACTTATTCAACCAACATTGTTACTTGCTATAATCCAATGTGTCTTTCAGAATATATGTGCTGTAAATAATCTGGAATGCCATAGTGTAGGGAGGTGGGGGCCTTTTGGGAGGTGTTTAGGTCATGACAGTTCCACCTTCTTTAATGGATTAATGTTGCTATAAAAGGCCTAGTGGATGGGGTTTGTCCCTTTTACCCTTCTGTTTTCTATGAAGACACAATATTCCTCCCCTTTGAAAGTATAGCACCAAAGTGCCATCTTGGCAGTACAGAGCAGCTTAACACAATACAGAAGCTGCTGGTGTCTTAACTTCAATGTACTATTGTCTAGAACTGTGAGAAATAAACTTATATTCTTTATAATTTATCCAGTCTCAGGTATTCTATTATAACAGCACAAAACTAAGTCTGCTATTTTTCAGTAAAAAAGGTAGGCTCTAGGAATACAGCACTGAAAAAAATAGATATCACCTCTAAAGGAGCCTATATTCTACTAAAAGAGACAGACAATAAACAGATACATGTGTTATGTTGTAAAGTGCTACTGAGGAAAAAAAAACACAACAGGGAAAGAGAAGGACTAAAGTATATGCCATTTTAGAGAGGGTGTTGGGAGAACTTCTCAGATAAGTTGACATTTCAGCAGTGACATGAATGAAATGAAAAAGAAAACAATGAAGAATTTGGGAAGATAATATTCTGGGCAGAAGGAACAGGAAGAACAAAGCCTTTGCAAAGGCATAGACCTCAAGTGCTAACAAACAAGAAAGGAACAAATGCCTATAATAAGTTATCTTAAAAAACACAACAAGTTTCTTAAAACTAACTTGTATGAACTATTCTGTTGATAAAAATATAAGCATAATTTTACAACAGGTTAGCTTATTAATTTCAATATATGTACATATTTTGTAACACTTTGTTAAAAGTGTCCACAGTTACCAAACTAATTTTTATGTATGTTTTCACAGGCCAACCTAATACTATTTGCACTCATGTGTGTGGGTGTGATGATGGGGATGGAGCCAAATATCTTGTGCATGCCAAGCAAGCACAGTAACACTGAAGAATATCCCTCACCCCTATTTGCACCTCATTCTTCATATTTTTAACAGAAAAAAATAATCTTATAAAATATGGATCTTGAGTTTCATAATTTCAATTGGAAAAAAAATTTCTATGTCTATTGTTCTCAAAAAACAATATTTAAATATATCTTTCAATCTTCATGTCACCATGTTTTTAAAAATAATACCTTCAAGTTAAGAGCATCTTGTAATTCAAAGAATCTCATTTGAAATAAACCTCTTAATCTTTGCCTTAATTATAAAATTTTGGATTAAACTCTGAAGGTTGAACATAGCAAAAAGTACTAGAATTTAAAATGAATCCTATTCTAAGCACAACAGGTGTGCATTTGGAAGAGGAGAGCTGAATTTCAAGCTAAAGAAACAATGATCATACACAGTGTAAACACTACAATCGATGCTTATGACTAAGAAAAAGTGCACTATATTAGCGATTAGGATTTTCAAAAAGAGTTTAAGGCTCCTGGGATAAAAATTGATAGAGTATCATCTTGCAAGTCAGAATTAGAGAGTGCCCACTGGGGCTGGCCCATCTATGAATACTTACATATCTCAATGTTTGGATCTAACATAACCTACCCTCCAAAAAATAAATGAAGCATTATTGCACTTAAGTGATGTCCAGTATATCCTCATATGACATGCAAGATGATTCCTCATCAAATTTTACTTGATCTCAACTAATTATGTACAAGATTTTAACACTGTCACCTAAATTTAATACTTCATATATAGCTAAAAATGCTAGCAACAATATTAGTACTATCTTTCATTTTCAGAATGAAAATGAAATTAAATTTATATATTTCAAATATATATATATATAATTTATTCTTCAAGATAAATGAAGAAAGCATCTTTTATTATTTCATCTTGAAGATGTTGAAAAGACATCCTTTTTGCAGAACCAAGAATAAATGCTGGAGTTAGGTCTTGAATCCATGGATTCCGAGTATGGTTTCATGGCTCCTTTTATGTTGTCACATAACAATTGGCAATGATTTATTTAAAGAAAAAATAACTTTTTACCTTTCTGACAGTTTTCCCATATAATATGTCGAGTATTCTCATAATTTGTGTTTAACCAACTTAGCAGAATCCTCTCGGAACTAGAATATATATTGCTGGATATGAAAGTAGGATTGATTTTTGGTGTATTTTTCACATGTGTGTGGGGTGCATTACTGCTACAATATGGTGTAACTCGGGATAGGACCAGAACCTGAAATTGGAAAGAAAGAGACAACTTTTCTCAGATTAAATAGAAAATTAACAAAATAATATTTGATGAGTAATAAAAGATGATGGGTAAATGAATGTACCAGTATTTTCTGGCTAAATTTAACCATTCTGGAGTAAGACATGTATGCCACTTATGTATATATGCATGTTCATTTTGAGTTCCCAACATTTTTCTTTTATAGCATTTAGTCAATAAGGCACCATACTACACAATTTAAAAGAAACATTACTAATTAAAAAATAACTACCTTTGACGACAGATGTTAGAATGATAATTCATTTAAAACACAAGAATTTAAAATGCTTTTTAAAAATCTCTTTACTACATCAGGCATAAAAATTAAAAATTTGAGCCAGGTATTGTGAAACATACCTGTAATCCCAGCATCTCAGGAGGCTGAGGCAGGAGGATTGCAAGTTCAATGCCAGCCTCAGCAACTTAGTGAGGCCCTAAGCAACTAAATGAGACTGTTTCAAATTAAAAATAAAAAGAGGTGGAGATATAGCTCAGTTGCAAACCATCTCTGGGTTTGATCTCCAGTACCCGCCCCCACCAAAAAAAAATTGAAAATCAAAGTAGTAAGTTATTCAGTCAAAACTGATTTTAAAATTGATACATATTGGAGAGGTCTGTTTTTAAGATGATAAAGTGCATACAATTTTATAATTCGACATATTTTCATCCTATACCATGAAGATTAGCATATTTATATCATATTGCCATTTACAACATGCACACCACATGTTATCATGAAATAATTTATCTGGATATAAATACATAATATTAAGTGAAAGATTCTGTGTCTGATTAGTAGAGCACAACAGCCAAGATCTACTCAAAGTTACACATTTTTATTGTTACTTTTCAGTTATATATGATAGTAGAGTCTATTTTGACATTTATACAGGCATAGGACCCTATTCTTGTAGTGGTGAGATTCACTATATATACATAGGAAAGTTATGTCAGATTCATTCCACTATCTTTCCTTTTCCTATTCCCCTTCCATGCCCTTCATTCCCCTTTGTCTAATCTACTGAAATTCTATTCTTCCCCTCCCTCACTAATTGTGAGTTAGCTTCCACATCTCAGTGAAAACATTTGACCTTTGGCTATTGGGAATTGGCTTATTTCACTTAGCACAATAGTCCCAATATCCATCCATTTACTGGCAAGTGTCATAAAGTCATCCTTCTTAATGGCTGAGTAATACTCCATTGTGAATATATAACACAATTTCTTTATCCTTTCATTTGTTGAAGGGCAATGAGGTTGGCTCCATAGCTTAGCTATTGTAAGTTGTGCTGCTATAAACAGTGATGTGGTTTCATCACTATAGTATGCTGATTTTGAATCTTTGGCTACATACTGAAGAGTGGGATAACTGGGTCAAATGGTGGTTCCATTCCTAATTTTGGGGGGAATCTCCATACTGCTTTCCAGAGTGGTTGCACAAATTTGCAGTCCCACATGCAATGTGAGTGGACACTTTCCTCACATCCTCATCAACATGTATTGTTCCTTGTATTCTTGATAATTGCCATTCTGGCTGGAGTGAAATGAAATCTCAGTATAGTTTCAATTTGCATTTCTCTAATTGCTAAAGATGTTGAACATTTTTTCCATATATTTGTTGAATCTGTTTAGTTCCTTTGCTCATTTACTGTTTTTTTTTTTTTTTGGGGGGGGGGGGCGTGGAATTAGACCAGAAACCCTGCACTTACTGGAAGAAAATGTAGCCCACACTCCAACATGCTGACTTAGGAACTGATTTCCTTAACAAGACTCCTAAACTGATTTCCTTAACAAGACTCCTCAAGTGCAAAATGTAAAATAAAAAATGAATGGGATGGCATAAAACAAACTTCTACAGAGCAAAGGAAACAATAAAGAGCATTAAAAGAGAGCCTACAGAATGGGAAAAAAATTTTGCCAACTGTATCTCAAACAGGGCATTAATTTTTAGGATATACAAAGAACTCGTAAACCTTAACACCAAAAACTCCCTGAATAACTTAATCAATAAATAGACAAAGGAACTAAACAGGCACTTCTCAAAGTTATACTTTAACTTGCCATTTGGCACAGATTCTAATCTGCTACCTAGAACATACACTCTATATATATCTAGATATCTAGATAGATATCTAGATAAATATACATACACACAAACACACAATATTAAGACATTGTGAATGAAGAAGTCAGAATGTGGTTTACATTACAGTACACATTACAAGCTCAGCTCATTGTTTCATACCAGATATTTAATAGATAGTTCTCCAGTGACATGGGTGTGAAGACCATAGTTTGAGTGACATATGTTATAGATATACTGGAGGTATCCTGTTCATATTCACCCAGCATTCACTTCTACATTACGAAAACTGATTATTATGAACACCTTCATATACTTGCAGGAAGAATTTTTTAATTGCATATTGGAGCACATGTAACCAGCAGAAAGCAAGCCCAGAGTGCCAGAGCATAATGAGCCCAGAAGTAGACCCAACACAAAAAGGTCAGGGAACTGGTAGTTAAATACTCTGGTTTCCTCATCACTGCATTGGGATAAATCTCAGATGTGTTCTAAAATGTCTCCTCTAAAACTCTACTGGGACTGAGCCTCAGTTGCCCATGATAAAACCTGATTGAAATCACGTGTTATTAGTTTAATTATATTCTCTATTTCAGTTCCCTACTCTACTACTCTTGCTTCTTGACATCACTCTGAAGCAAACTAAATGAACTCAAATATTTTTCTCAGAGTCTGCTTCTAGGAGACTCCAACCTAAAAAGCATTTTTGTAGTCTAGAATGTTAATTATAACTTTGAAAAAAAGTGCTCACTTCTTTATGTAGTATATATCCATACTACTACATAGTATCTCAAATAACTACAGTTTAAAAATTATTAAGATATTTATGACAATCCTAAAACTGTTCTTTTCTTTTTTATTATGGGAAATAGTTTAAAATTTCATCAAAAATCCATTACTGAGTGTTGAATATTTATTTGGTGTATGTCTAGAGAGAATAGCCATCCACAAATGTGAATTGCACCACTTTTGGCATTTTTAAGAGAAGTGTAACAAAATTACCTTCTCCTTTTATTCTGGCAGTTATGTGATCTAGAACTCTTAAGTTTCAAATGTCATATACTATAAAAATACTAAATGCCTTTGAAAAGGACTCCCATCCCTTTCTAGGGAATATTAAATGATGAATTATCTCAGTCCAGCCAACGAAATAAATGTTTCAGGCTAATAACCTGAGCTGGCACAGGATTCATCTGTCATCTGTCACCTCTACTCCGCAAATGAGGCAAGATCTGCAAATGACCCTTGACTAAGAACACAAATTTAATGATGGACCCACATGGAGCACAGATGTAACGTTTAATACAGAAAGAACCACCATCCAGAGTACTTAATTCTACCGAAGGGCTTTTGAAACTATTCGTAGTGAAAGACCTGTTAGTTTTGACTCTGCCACAGAATGATAGTTCTGTCAAATATTTCAAAAATAAATTGCCAGAAAAACAAAATAAATAATAAATTCATGTATAAAGCATATGACCTCATCTCAAGCAAACCAAATGCACCATGAAAAAGCATATGACCTCATCTCAAGCAAACCAAATGCACCATGGAAAAGCATTTCTATTTATTACTTAATATCCAAACCACATAATACATGAGCTGAAGGAAAGGAATGAGAATTACAGAAGACACAATTCTTTGTTAGCTGTCTGCTAATACATGAAGTTTATATAAATCAGTTTCAGTGATTTATACTTAGGAAATGCTTTCCTGCTATCACAAAACATTGTCTACACATCCAATTTTGTTAAATGTCTGATTCAAGAAATGTGATAAACAGTAGTTTGGCCACGTGATAGATTAGAGTCCTTAGCTATGTCACAATGGAGCATATTGAAGACAAAAATAAAATGACAAAATTATTATTAATAATATGTATGTACATATATTGATTGCTTCTCCACCACTGCCATATGCTCTTCCATTTCCACATGAATTTTGGTATTCTATTTGGCTTATTGTTTCTTAATGACTTTTTAAAAAAATATTGTCTTCAATGTATTGGCATAGAAAACAGATGACAATTTTCATATTTAAGTTGCCCATAAATCTCTAGATATTTTAGACAATTGCAATAGTTGGATTTCTCCTGAAGAATCATCTTGAATACAACTAGGTTGACTAGAAGGAAAGAATCAATAGCCAGCTCATGACATTCCTTTTAGACTTAGAAGTGCCTAATATTTTAACATGGGGTTTAAATCTCTTTACATCATTAACTCAAGGAATTGACAAAAATAAATTTATAGGAGATCCAAGTTAATTGAGGGTCCAGATGAGGATCATATACAGGATCAAGTACTCATAACTCAGGGTCAAGATATTGAATTAAGTAATGAGGATGCTGCCATACTAGAAAATTGAAAGGTCTTCACATTTAAATGTTTCCCTACATTGAAATGACCCAGGCCCACTAGGCCCTAACTTTTGTGAACATTTCAGTCTTGGGTGTAGAGTGAGTGCAACACTTAAGCTATGCCCTGAGCCACAAGAACCCTGCATTGTTGTTGCTGTGCATTTATTTACCTATCTTGTGTACTTTCTTAAGGTAAGTTAATGTGTCACAATATGAAGTCTACAATATATCCTACATTTGATTAACCAAACAAACCTAAGACCATATGGCTGGTGAAGCAGAGTAGGCCTATGCAACTGATGATGCAAAAGATAATATTCCTAGCATATATTTGTCTATGGGAAAGACAATTTAGAAACTAGTAACCAATCAGCATTAGACTGAATTTTCCCATAGTCTTTGTGCCCATAAGAGGGAAATTTTCTTGAAGATTTAAAGGACATTGGCATGTTCAGATATGGCTGGGCAAAGTAGATTTTAAAATGTCATATGTAATATGGACTATTACTGTGTTACAATAAAGATGAAAACCAAAGCACATGCAGGAAAAATTCCTCTATTCAAATCTCAAGTATATGGACAAATCCTCATTGAGGCAAGACTGAAAATATATAATTCAAAACCATGGTTCTTGCATATGTAAATACTCTGAGCTACAATCCTTGGTATCAAAGTTAACTTCCTTCTTTTTTAAAAAAAGGGGGGGGGAGAGAGAGAGAATGAATTTTAATATTTATTTTTTAGTTTTCAGCGGACACAACATCTTTGTTTGTATGTGGTGCTGAGGATTGAACCCTAGCCGCACGCATGCCAGGCAAGCGCGCTACTGCTTGAGCCACATCCCCAGCCCTAACTTTCTTCTTAATTTATAAATATTTGTGTACTTTAAGTCAGAGTCTATTTGCTTTTATTTTATAGAAAAGTTTAATAAGTCTGCATATCTAGTTTCTTAGACCACAACAAAACAAATAGGAAAATGAACTACTATAAGTACGCACATTGATAACAGCAATAAAAAGCAGGAGAGACAACAGTCACATGCCAAGAGAATGAAGAAAAACTATTAAAAACTAAAAAAATAAAAATGAGTCATGTGGTTATCACTGTACCTAGGAAATGCAAATGCAATTCTGGATAATGACTGTAGATTTATCATCTTGTCCACCTTCAGCAACAAATATTCCAATATTATATTATACAAATTTTGAACCAATTTGAGAAAAAGGTTTAGTCAGAAAGACTACTTCTCTTTGTCTGAAAATACTAAAATATTTGATAGAATCATGCTACTATTTTTAAAAAGACCTTATAACAGAAAATGCACTGGAAACAAATGAATAAATGAATTGATAAAAATTATTCAGATGTTTGTTTCTGATCATTTTTTCAGTCTTCTGTAAACACATCACATTCATATCTTTTAGCACATACAGAGTCATCCTTAATATTCATTTGAGATCCTTATTTATATTAACATTTAGAACAACATTCTGACTTTAAGTGTTTCTGTTGGTTCTGTTAGTTCACTTTTTGTATGTTTCAGTAATCCAATATTTAGCCACCAATGCATTTTTGTGACTTGGGAATATCATGCAGGAAAATAGCTATAATTCAAAATGCAGGTTTAACACACAGAAGTAATAAATGATACACAATCAAATTGGGCAAAATAACCTATATCCTGTATCTAACTATTAGACAAGAAGAAATGAAAAATGTAGTCCTAGTATACATGCATGAGTTCAAGGAATATAACAGTCAGAACCTAAGTGAACTTGTGAAAATCAGAACCTTCCATTTCTAACCTGTGAAACGTATCTAAACAACATTGTTTTCTTTTTTCATGTGAAATCACCAATTCATTTCTAATTTAATCTAGTGTCTGGAGTTACCCATGATTTAGACACAATTTATGGAGAAATACAGCTCTGCAGATGGTTTTATTCATTCCTATAACTTTACCATAGGATGAATGAAAAATCCCAAATTTGTGTTGCCACCAGATCTCTCCAGACTAATGAATATGCCACCCTGGTAATTATGCAGGGCTCTTCAAACACAATAGGAACAAAATTAATTTACCATGTCTTCTCGCCCTGTCACACCTTCTGCCTCCCCTCCCAAATCCTGTTCTTTTTTCTTGTCTTGTATTTCAGGGACTAGATTCAAACTCCTCTCAGTATCCAAGCAAGAATTCCACAGTTATTTTTTACTTCTGTGATTCCATCAATTCTAAAGATCTAGCCATTCAGAAGACTCTATTGAGTTTTATTTGTAATATTCATTAAAGTTGCCATTGCCTCATCATTCCTACTATTACCAGAATTCCCATTTGGGTCATAGCACCTGATGCTGAAACACATCCCCCAACAGTTTCCATACTTTACCACAGTGATATCTCTAGAAGGCAAAGCTTATCATGTCACCCTTGTGTTTACAACCCTTCAATAGTTCTGTACAATCTCAGCATAATATCTAAAAAGTCCAGATTCCTTAGATTGGCTTATGTAGTAGCAAAAATTCTTCCTCTGAGCAAACTTTAGTTAAGCTCCTGAACTTTCTTTTAGGTAATTTGGGAGTATCTGGTAAAATCCAGTTTTACTAACACCCCTGCTAAATCCACTTAGGACAGATCTCCCACCCTCAATGTCTGATCACTATTGACATCTGACTTGGTTCTGAATCTTTCACTATTTCCCCAGGAGATGTTTAATCACCCTGGCCTGTTTTAAGCAAGAATCCTGTTGAGCTGGTTTAGCCAGAATCCCCTCTTGCTGCAGATTCTTCCTGATAGTCTTTATCTACTAGCTGACTCCATCTTGTTCTTTTACTACGAATTTCCACTTTCCCATGCTGTACTCAGAATTTAGCCCAATCTTTTTCTGCTATTAGAAAATCACACTGCAGTGGTCTCTGTACATATCCTACTGGTTCCAAATAAAGTTTGCCCTACTTTGCTTTACTAAGTGCCATTACCACTCCCTTCACACAAATCATATTACCTCTCTCCAAGTTTGTCTCACCTTGCTTAGCAAATTCCTAGTCATATTTAAGAGTTCAATGCCCTTAAATTTATGCTCCTCTCTATGTGAAATCATTTGTAGTTTCTTTGTCTTTCCCTGTCTTAGCATTTGTTCATTTCCTTCTAATTATTCATTTAGTTGCTTATAACCTCCTCCAAGGCTTAAACTCTTTGAGGAGACAGATCATATCAATTTTACTCATATATTCCCTGAGCCTGGTATAGAGCCTTGGCCACAATAGTTGTTGAATAAATTCATTCAACAAATATTTGTTGAGCATATATTATGCACCTGACATTCTATTAAATTCTGCATTTACAAGTGATGCCTGATATCTAAATCCACATAGATAACTGATTGGGAAAGATGGATTAAACAAATTAAATATACAAATGATTGTGTGAATGAATGAATAAGTAAATAAAATTCATAAGCCAACATTATGTCTAATTTCCCCCCCAAAATAGTGAATTTGCCACTCTTTGGCTTTAGATTTGCTCCTTCCATTAGTGGGTAAGAATGGAACCTGCTGTCTGTAGATTGAGACCTCTGAAACCATGAGCCACCAAATAAGCGTTTCATCCTAAGATTATTCTGGTCAGATGTTTTAGTCACAGCAGTGAAAAAGCTGACTAAATCAGAGTTGGAAGGCATAATTTAATGTATGTTCATCTATCTATAAATGTAATTTTGCTAGAAGTAAATTTTGAGAATCTCATTAAAACTGGACTTGCCTTCAGCTATGTGAATCCTAATGAGTATCACTCCAGAAAAACTTAATGGTGTACTGTGTATAAGAGGCAGAAAATATAATTTTCAGTACTGTTTATTTAGGTCTTCTAGTTAATACCAGAATATGCTTGTAGCTGCCCATTCCAGAGATTATATTTCTCAACTTTCCTTGAAGATACCCATGTTGATATGACTAAATTCACATCAGTATGTGAAAAGGGAAATGACACATTTTTCAGGTGACATCCTTTAAAGGTATCTCCTTGCCCTCTATTACTCCTTTACCTACTCTTTGTTCTGAGAAATTAGACCCATAGATGAAAGCCTAGTAGTGGGGATGGAAGGGAAACTCCTAGCTCCAAATCACTCATTTCTCAATATTTATACAGAAGAAAAAAAAACTTATATTACTTTAGCCACTGTATTTTTAAATCTTTTATAACAGCATTACTTACACTTTAAATAACACTATTTAACACTAGTCATGTGAATTAACTGAAAAAGAGCAGCAAACAAGAGTGGAAGTATTACCTTGTATATTTGAAGAAATACATCTGTCCATGCCCGTTTACTCCAGTCTTCAAACTTATCCATATCTATAATAACAGAACACTTTTCCTTAGATGCACAGGAACTCAGAGGCGTGGTATTACTGGAAGACTTTAAGAAACAAAATGTTACAAGAAAAATTAAAATGCAAGGCAATATACATCTAAAATTTTAACCACTCAGCGTAGGATTTTTTTTAACAGCAAATTTTCTTGCCCTTTTTATATATTCATCAAGAGCTCTAATTTCCAACGTACCAATATTAGAAACTATCAACACAGGTAACTTTCCAGAGCATACAGTCCCTTATTTAGGTGATAGATTTATTCACCCAATGCATTTATTAGCTCCCTCTATAGTAGAAGTAGCAGAACAAGATGCAAAATTCTCCTGAAACCTGAGCCCAGATGAAGCCACACCCTTTGGATTAGCTAGAGGAACTCAGCATGGTGCTAAACAACAGGTACCTGCTTTTCTTCTCATGTCATATGGTAAGCATAGTGACAGTGACAAAACTAAAGCACATTTACCTAAAAGCCTTCAGAATCCTCAAAATCAATTCCCTTTCTCTATAGGTTTTCATCAAGTGAATTGTCTACTTTAAGAAAACTATGCATTTATTGCTTAACTTCTCTCTATTCTCCCCTAAAACAGAAGAAAGGAAGTGACAAGTGGTGATGAAATTGTCATTTGAAACTCTTTCTTTGTAATGTATACATTCTAAAATTTTAAGAACATGAATTACATAAGTTCACACCATTTTTCCTTTGTAAATCCCCCTCCAAAGCAATGAAAAGTTATGTAATCATTTTTGCATAGGAATCACATATTTTTAGATAAATGTAGAGACATACAAAAATCATCTGTCTAAAGAAGCTTAAACCTTAGTATATTTTATACATAAAAATCTGAACTCTAAAATGAAATCTTTAAAAAATCCAAATATCCATACATTTAATAATACATATAGATTGGTTCTAGAAATTATATTCTCTTACTGATATTTCGAGCCACTTCTTATAATCTTGGGGTTCAAGCAGAAATTCTGGCAGTACATGAGAAATACATCCTCCCTGAGCACTAAGATTATAAAAGAAAACCCAAATTATGATATTATAATACACATTTGTACTGACTTTCAGTTAAATTATTCCAATGTCATACTTTTTTATATTTGTTGGATTGATTTTCAAATTTAAAATTTGTATTATTAATTTTTAAAACTTCCCTTAATAATGAAATGATGTTTCCTTTAAAGAAACTGATTAATGAGTAAGAACTTACAAAGTAACTATAATCATATTGTCTATGCATATAAGCTAACCAAACATTAAGAGTCATATGACTTGGTCCTTGTAGTCAGTGCAGTAACCTTTTTATTGTCATTGTAACATTACAGAATTTTTAAAAAAATCTGGAAAAATTTTGACAACAACAAAGCTAGTAATAGATCATTAGTCATATAATACTTATTGAATGGCTATCAGAACACAGGTCAGAATACAGAAAACTCCAAATATAAAGTAATCCATAACCTATTTTTTCTCCAAAAGGAGTATGCAAATATTGGGAAATCTTTTATTTTGCAAATGTGTGATGTATATCTGAAGCAGTAAATACATTATATAATACAGTTAAAATAATGAATGCATATATGTGTACAACTTATTACATTAATATTTATATATGTATATATACTTTTGTACTCTAAAGTTTTAAAGATAATTTTATGTAAACTCTTCATATTAATGTCTATAATCACCAGAGCCACTACAGAAACCCAGTACAGTTTTGTGAAAAGTGTTTCCAAATAAAGATTTGGGAGTTTAGATCCAGCTCATTTATTGAACATATACCTCCACTCATCAATAATGGATTTAACAGAGAAGAACGTCTATAGTGCTTAATTCAGGAGGCACCTTCAGTACTTTATGGTTGATTACTGAAAAGCGAGGAAAAGAAAAAGGAGAAAAGAGGCTTAAAGATGATGCTGAAAACTCAAATCCTGAAGATAGAAAGATGAATGAGATGAGAGATGTTAAGAAGGAAATTTCTGTCGTCATGGAAGCAGGGGGCAGAGTTCTGCAGCTGTTCAGTGTGATGTCGCACTGGGTCAGTCTAAGCTAGTGGAGGAAATCTACTGCCTACTCGAAGCTCCTTTGTTTGGAAATCAGTCATCCTTTCTCTTTGATTGTCACACAATTCCTATCCTCATGTACAAATTATCATTATGTTTGAGTTATTAGAGTAGTACACAAAATTTTATTTTAATGTAACACTGCTCTTCAGCAGGTACTGTCAACCTAAAGCCTACATAAGAATGCAATGAGGTAATTAATGTCCCTATTAGCTGGAAATCCTGTACAGTGCAACAAAGGCAGACCACTCAGAAACATATGAAGAAACTGAATACTTTCTTGTAACCAAAGCCAAGACAGGATTTCACATGAGGGTTGTTGCTTTTGTTGTTGTTTTATTGTTTTGTCTGTGTATATGTGTGTGTGTGTGTGTGTGTGTGTGTGTGTGTGTGTGTGTGCAGTGTGTGGTGGTGGGGATGAAACCCAGAGCCTAGCACATGCTAGGCAAATGCTCAATCACTGAGAACATTCCAGCACCCAAGACAGGATTTCAGAAGAAAGTGATTACTTCTATCAAATGCTATTGAGAGCTTAAGGAAAATGATGAGGGAACCATTAAAACAGAAGTTTCTTGAGAAGGGGGCCATATGTCATTCATTTGAGTATTTATATAGTGTGTAGCAGAAAGTAGACCTTGGTAAAAGTTCAGGGTGAAAAATATAATCAATACTTGCTTTCTTTTCTTTTTTTTAAATTCTGAATCTATCTCAAGGCCTGCTTTCATGAATCCATAAGACAGTATTATCTTTACATTTTTCAGTAGATTTTATATCTGGAAGGTAGCTTTTACTAGAGAATTTTCATTAATAATTTATTCTGTTACACTTTTACACACTAGGTTTTTCTAATGTATTTCCACATTTAGAGTGTTCAAAATAAATTTACATGCCATGAGTTATAAATTCAAAGCTTAATCTTCAAAAATTAGCTTTGTAAAAAATTCTAAAAATCTTTAAGAATTAATTTCTATATATTGCATAAAGTGATATTTAACTCGTATAAAAGTCCTCAACCACTATGTCATCAAATTTAATTGGAAAGCTAATAGCATTTATGACTATTTTGAATTTTAATACATTTATTTCCAGCATAAAACACATACACATATCTTGAATTAATGACCCCATTTTATTAACCATACTGCCGCTTTCTAAATGTTAAGTAATTTTATCACACTCAACATATCCTTATAGGCATGTATTTGCTGATAAAGAACAAATAAATCTGAATGGCTTAGCTTTAATGCCAAAATCATTCTTCCATGCTTGCATCTTCACATCATAAAATGTCAAAACAGAAACAACTCCTGTTAATGTCAACACTACTGGCAGATATGCCAAGAAGAATACAACTAAATAACACAATATTCATAAGTACCATAAAGTATAATAATGCTATCACAAAATTGTTTAATTTCAAAAACATACATAACATAAGGATTTACATGAGTATTTAAAACTTCTTTTGCTCCTGTTTTACATTTCATTAGATTTTAACCACACAAATAACTTGCAGAAATTAATTCATCTAAATTTTTACCTGATTGAATTACTGGGCTTACCTCATTTGATCAGTCTTTAAGGATCAAAAGTAGGAAATGAAAAATCAAAAGAAAATTTGTGTGCTTTATATCTTAAACATAAAAATTTCAACAAACTTTCTCCCATCATATGTATTTAATGTAAGGACATATTTGATAAATACTGGTTCTCTGACATTTTCATGTCAATAGGATATTCATTTCTAATATAAAAGTATTTTTTAATAAAAAACTATTTTAGCAACAATGATATCACCTCTAGACAGTTCTCAGAATATCACTAATGACTAATTATATTGGAATAATATAAGAATACAACCTTAGAGCATACTGCATTGCATTTAAATCAACAATAATTATAATATTCCATGTCATGTAATGCATATTTGACTACTTATAACTGTTTTATTAATCATATAACTTTGGGAATTATTATTCTTGACTTTACAGATTTTGACCTTGTACAGGGTCATGGCACAAAAGAGCTAGAATATAAAGCTTGCATCTACTTGATTAAAAAAACATGTTCTTTTAGCTCAGTTCAGTGTACTCTTGCAGAATCACATATTAGATTGTTGCTTGAAATATATTCATTCTTTGATTCAATTATATTAAATAATATTACATAATGCTTATACATTAGTAAGAAGGGTATGAAGTTTTAAAATATAATAAAAATAAAAACCACAAGTGGAATTAAAGTTATCTATAAGGGATGTGAGTTGCTTTTTCTAAATGTATTTATTTTTGGTGAATGAATTATTTATTTGAAAACTCAATGGAATTAAAAAATAAGTTATAGTAATTTTATATTCTTATAATGTCTTACTTTATAGTTTGAATATGGGACACATTTTATTCATACTATGCTTCTATTTTAGTTTTAAAATATGCAAATTATAAATAAAATTTATTTTTTCTAATTAAAATGAATCATGTTATAAAATTATTAATCATAAATAAGCAAAATTATATCAAAGAATATTAATCTTTGTTGTGGTCTTCCCTAAATAAATACAATAGGCAGAGTAGCTAAAACAGAAATTTATTTTCTTTACAGATGGCCACCTTTTCAATGAGTCTTTACTAAGAGTTTTGAGAGAAAGACTTTCTTCTTCTTATAAAGATATACCATTCCTACCAGATTAACACCCCAACCTTATGACATAATCTAACCTTAATAACTTCTTTAAAAGTCTTATCTCCAAATGCAGTCATATTGGGGGTTAGGGGTTCCACATGTGAATTTGGAATGGGGCACAACTTAGTCCATGAAGGCACAGATTACAAGAAAAATAAGAAGATTATTACAAATATACTCATGAAATCTATTATAAAATATAATATCTGATTACATAATATTTTTATAATACAACATATATGGTATTTTAGTTGTTTGTCCCCCCAAATTCATGTTAAAACCATAAACTTCAGTACCTCCCAATGTGACTGTACTTAAGTTAGGGTCTTAAAGAAGTGACAAATGTAAAAAGAAATCATTACAGTGATTTCTTTTTACATTCATCAACCAATATGGTTGATGTCCTAATAGTAAGATGAAGTTTGAACACACAGAAACACTAGATTCATATGTACACAAAGGAAAGAATACTTGAGGATACAGTAAGAAGAGGTCCTTGGCAAGGTAAGCAGACTGCTCTCTGAAGAAAATAAAACCTGGTGAAACTTTGATCTTGGCCTTTGGTGGTGGAGAATGGGGACTGAAATGGAGTGAACTAAATTCCATGCATGTATGATTTTGTCAAAATGAACCAAACTACTATGGATGACTATAATGCTCTTTTAAAAAAAGATGTACCTTAAAAACAAAAGAAAGAAAGAAATTAAGAAATTTAGTGGACATTGACCTCATTTTGACTCTGGGCTTTAAAGACACCAGATGAATTAGATGTGATTCCTGCTCTTAAGATGCTCATAAATTAGTGAGATTGACTGTCACAATGATGAGGCAGTGGAGTTAAAAATGATTTACATAATTCCAGTTGGGCTATTTTTCTATAACTGATATAATCTTTCACATTCTCTCATCTAGATTATGTATAGAGGAATAGAAAGGAAATGAAAACTTTCATCTTCATATATCTTTGCCTTTTTTTGTTTTATAACCACTACAGTTTTGTTAAGGTAATTCTGTTCTTTTGATAAATACTTAAAATTTCAGCATCACATCTCTAATTCAAGATGGCATTTGGGAAGATGTAGATGTAAATTCACTGCCAAGTAAATAAAGCTTCAACTCCAGGCTTCTTTACATTCATGATACCTTCTAAAACCATGAATCTATTATTATTTTAAAAGAGGGCCCCAATTGTACAAGAGCCTCTCAGAATATGTATTAGCTATATATTTGGGTTAACATAAGATAGGGGAGAGGGATCTGTGTATCTGTACATATAAAGGTCTATTACTGCTTTTCTTGATCCTTGGTCTCTTCAAAAATGTCCCCTTTCTGCTGGGAACCTATTAGTCATGTGATCATATATTGCTGATGTCTGAGATGGGGATCTCATGTCTTTTTTTTTTTTTTTTTTTTGGGACCAGGGATAGAACTCAGGGGCACTTGACCACTGAGCCACATCCCCAGCCCTATTTTGTATTTTATTTAGATACAGGGTCTCACTGAGTTGCTTAGGGCCTCACTAAGTTGCTAAAGCTGGCTTTGAACTTTCGATCTTCCTGCCTCAGCCTCCTGAGACCCCTGGGATTACAGGCGTGGGCCACTGTGCCTTGCGTTCTCATGTCTCTTAACTCCACCAAGGATCAAGAGGTCCCCATCACTGACTCTGTCACTTCCCTTTGTCAAATATTTGTAATTCATATTATAACTTCAGAGCCAGCCATCTGCCACTCTTCTTCCTCTTCAGTGGGGTGGGTCCCTCTAGTGTTCTATCATGGCAACTTTCATGACAAGCTACCTGGGTTTTGAACTAAAGTCATTTTCAGTGACTTAGAAACTACTGGCATTATTGCAAGTCAAAAGGAGTCTAAGCCAGTTTGAACTAGTACTATGATAGTGAGTCTAATAAATGAAAAAAAAAAATTTTGTTCAGAACTATGTCCAATACATAGTACTGCTAGAGACTCAAAAAAATCCTGATTTGTAAATAAAAGAACTGAATGTCAAATCTTTCATTTGCATTCAAGCTCTAAGAATCTACTTGACCTTCATTGCCAATCCTTAATAAGATAGATGAATATCTCTGGCCAACTGTGGGACAGATTCTATAAACAAAGATACAAAAGTACATTAATATATTTCAAGATAAATTAACACTATAATATAAATAATTATGAGTTACCAATGCTATTTTGGTGATGAAAGAACATGAAAGTAATAACACTGCCTATGGATATAGGGCATTTTAGTGAACAAGGGTGCTATAAATGCAGGCAAAAGAAGCAATATAAATTCAGCAGCCCTCCTCTCAGACTTTTAATATATGCTGCTCTTCTATTTTTTGGCCACTTGCCATTCAATCTCTGTAGAGGAAGATAGACGTTATGATGACAAGTATTTTCTCCCATAGTTTATACTAACCATTTGTGAAATTTTTGCCTGCCTATTATTTTAATATCCAAGACTTTATTAATGGAAATGAAAAGTTCACAGTATCCATAATATATTAACACTTATCTGAGAAACAAATATTACTGGTTTCATTCCTCTTTTGCTCAGTGCTTTTATATATGTGCAACAGATCAGAATTTTAAAAATAAGGTCATAGACCAGCACTATCAGCATTATCTTGTAACTTGTTATAAATGCCAAGTAACATCATAAACTCCATAGGTAAGGGACAGCAAATTGTTTTAACAAGTTCTACCAGTGATTTGGATGAATTATAATAAAATTTGAGAATGACTGCCTTAGATTGTAAATCCAAAATATTATGGAATGATTATTTTCTATTAACTAGTATGAATTTTTCTATGATGTATATTACAGGGTGTATAACAATAAATATTTGGTTAAAATACAAGTAATTTCAAAATCAGTCTATCAATCTATTTACCTATTTATCTATCTATCCTCCTAAGCCATAATTAGAAGCTTAAATTAAGCACATGCATGCTCTTACTTGAGAAATTCCAGAAGTGAGGAATGTTGCAAATGAAGTTGAGTTATTCTTTCAGGGTTATCCATGGGTAAAGATTGACTTGAATTAATTCCAGGTGGCATTCTTCCACTCAAGTGGAGCAGCACATCATAAATAGTCTTATTATATTTGGTAAAATCATTCTGCCTGGCATATTTCTTGGATGATGAGGTTGATGAGTAAAATTGTATTTTTTGTACATCCCTATAGAGAAAAGACTTTAAGTTAAATTTTGTTTTGAAATTTTACACTATAAAACAAAACATGCCCAATAACTAAATAAAATCCTATTAAAATCAACTACATAAGAAATTCCTAATTAGAATAAGTTATATTCCATGTATGTATAATAGGTAAAAATACACTCTATTATATATATTCCAAGTATGTATAATATATTAAAATACATTCAAATATATCTAAAAAGAACAAATATAAAAATTGACATAAAAATCTTCAAATAACTAAAAGAAAAGAAATTCCAAAATATAGTTCACTCAGCTACTGTTAATCACAATTTGAGTTTTAAACATTCCCAGAGATTTCTAGTATCTTGCTTGAACACACATTACTATTGAATATTGCAATTGTCAAGTCAGAATTATTGGATTGTGAATAAACTGGATGTGAGAAAGAGAACAGGGATTGGTTACTGGATTCATTACCTTCTAGCTGTGATTTAAAGTAATTAAGCCTAATTTTGTATGCTATAGACTTGAGGTCTATAATGGTTGCCAGGGAAGATTTCAAACATTCATGATGCATGCATATACAAAAATAATTTACACACCTTTTCTTGATATTTGTATTTCAATGCTTAGAAGGGTATAGTCTGAACATGATACTAATGAGTAGGGATTCTCATTTAAAATATAAATTTCAGAGATCTATTGATCCACATATCCCTCTCATGTTTAAACAAGACACTGAAAACTCTATTCTATAGGTTGTGATGCATTCTAATTTTTGAATGGAGAAAAAAAAATTCAATCTATTTTTGCTTTCCACAATTTATCAAATGTCTCAAACTACATTGTTTAATTATTTGTTAAAATTGGAATCACAAAAATATTACTAGCTTAGACTGGAAAACAGCAAGTTCCCAAGGGGCCATTTTGAATAGCAGTTCTAGAGTTTGGTGGTCTGTGTAGCATAATATTGGAGAGAGCAAATTGTATTGGTAAGATTAATACTAGTAAGCTCAAAATCTGGCTCTGTCACTTACTATGTAACCTTACAGTTGTTACTTGATTTTTCTGATCCTCAGCTTCCTTGAAAGTATTGAGTAGACTAAAGCTAGTGTATCTTGGCAATTATCACGAAAGAAACATAAATACTTTCTAGGGAAAATTAACACCATCATAGACTAAGATGTGTGTGTTTGTGTATACATGTACATACACACATAAAATAAAGACATATACAATAAAGACAGATACATAGAAGCGCTAGATATTATAAGTGCAACACCGATTTAAGATTAACTACATGTACTATGTTCCAGATTGAGAATTTAATTGAGTTATAAATTACCTAAAAATTAACCAAGGATAAAATTTAGAAATAAAAAATGCAATTAATAAAGTTGAGAAATCAATGGACAAGTTGAATAGCAGATTAGATCATGTAAATAGAGAGTTAATGCACTGAAATGTAGGTTAATCCTATTCCTGGATACATATCTAAAGAAATGGAATTGATGTTGAGGAGATATCGATACTCCTATGTTCTTTGCAGCACTATTTACAATAGCCAGGAAATGGAAACAGCCAAAATGTCCATCAACTGATGAATGGGTAATGAAATTGTGGTACATATACACAATCTATTCTGGCATAAAATGTCATTTGCAGCAACATGGATATAATTGGAGATAATTACATTAAGTGAAATAAGTCAGGCACGGAAAAACAAATGCTGTATGATCTCACTTTATATGTGAAATCTAAAAATGCTGATCTCATAGAAGTTGAGAGTAGAATAGTGGTCACCAGAGGCCAGGGAAAGTGGGGTGGGAGAATGAGGAAAGGTTCAACAATGGGTACTAATTACAGCGGGAAAGAGCAAGAAGCTCCAGGCGTACCACTGTAAGTATGGTGACAATAAATAACAATTTTTTACCACACATTTCAAAAAGCTAGAAGAAATGATTTGAAAAGTATTAAACACAAAAAATGATAAGTGTTTGAGTAGATAAATTTTACCTTATTTAAACATTGCACCATGTATACATGTATCAAACATTACATGATACCTACTAATATGTACTACTTTTATGCTTTTTAATATCAGTTAAAATAAAAATGTGCTATATATATTAACTAGAAGAAAATGAATATACCTGTAATCATGGAATCAAAGTAGCACTTAGGACACAGAGCATCACCAGGTATAAAAGTAATTTCATAGGCATAAAAGTTTCAATATGCCCTGAAGATATTATAATTGCACAAGTGAAGGCTCGTGGTAACAACCTCAACAATGTATGAAGTAAAATTGACTAAATTGTTAGAGTATACAAATATAAGTAAAAATTTTAAAAATTTAGTGTAGTAATTTGTAAACAATTCTTTGTAAACAAGAATCAATAAACACATATTACTTGAAAAGCACAATAAGCAAATGTGGTTTAATATAATTCCATGGAAAATAACATTTGACACATACAAAATACACAATATGTTCAAGCTGAAATTCTTATAAAAACTAATTAAATGCTGGCCAATAAAAAAATGTCAAAAAAATTCAAAGGGGATTAACTTTGACCTTAATGAAACTACATTGAATAGCAACAGTATAATGGCCTCATGTAAACTTCTAAATAATATTTGTAAAGTAAATCACTTTGAAAATGAAAAATATATTCATTAGGCCAAAGTTAGAAGGAAATCTATTGCTTAAAAATTAAATATCTGTTCAACTTGAAAACATGTAAGTGCTAGAAATAAAAATAAACTTCAAAACCTGATCAAATTTTCTATAAGAAACATCGAGCAAATCTTGTACCCAATGGTAAATGTTGGAAGGTTTTCCCATAAAACTGAACAATAGGTTGCACGCTATTCTATATTACCCATGCAAAGATAGTAAGGCAAAAAAAAAAATAAACATGTAATGATTGGAAAGGGAGAAAAACAGTTATATGGTATTTACAGATAACATATTATTCAAAATTACCCCCCAAAACCCAATTAAAAATAGGATTAGTAAATTGCCTTATCAACAAATTAGTCTAATATATAACTGCATGCAATAATCAACTTTATTTTTAGATAGCATATAAAAATATAGAAAATCAAATTGATAAATACCATTAACAATACCTTCAAACGATGTTAAATATCCAGGGAAAAATCTACCAAAATATGTGCAAAAGTTATACACAGAAAACTATGAAACATCACTAAGATGAACTTGAAAAGACCTTAATAAGAGGAGGAATATTGTAAAGATGTCAATTTTTTTTCTAATTTGATTAAAGATGAATCATAATCAAAATATCATAAAGGTACTTTTTGGTGGAAATTTATAAGTGATCCTAACATTTATGTAGAAATGAAAATGGAAGATATAAGAAAACACTAGAGAAAAGCCACAAACTTTGAGTGCTTATACTACTACATATCAAGAACTATAAAATAATAGTACTTAAGCCAATTTGGTTTTGATGCAACACAATACAAATGCATCAAAGGAATAAACCACACAAATTCTCAAAAATATGGATACTTGACTTAGGAGTAAAGAAACATTATAGAGCAGACAAGGAATAGAAGAATGATATTTTCCATAATGGCATTGAATCAATTGGATAAAACCCAAAATAGTATGTAGTCATTTGGAAAAACACCGTAAGAGGAATGGAGAAGACTGGTATTGAAAAAATAGGGAAAAATAGAATATCTCATGAGCTTTTTCTCATATCTACAAAAAAGTAAATTCGAGGAGAATCAAACATCAAATGTAAAAGACAAAACATAAACGTGCATATGCATACACATACACACAAAGGTTTCAAAAATAACAAAGGATGATATTGTTATGCATAAGGAAGAGAAAGACAAAATAACCATCAAGGTAAATATTCATAAATTAGAGTGCATGTCAAATTAGGGAGAATATATTTGTAGTACAAATAACCAACAAAGAATTCTCATAAAAATACATTAAAATAATCTAAAAAATCAAATTTTTAAAAAGTAGGAAAAACAAATAAACAGATACTTTATGAAACAGCATTCCAAATTAACAAGAATATATAAAAATTCATTTAGCAGACATAGCAACAAAATTCCTATTCATACCACACCCAATGGAAGAGTTAATATTGAAGAGACTGATTATATATATTAGGTATAAAGAACTGAACTATTTGGGTACTGCTTGTGGAAACTGACAAACATACCTTGACAAATTGGAAATATATCTTAAAACGAATTGTATTTCTATCTTATGATCTAGCAGTGTTACTCTTACATACATGTATTTCAGAAATACAAACCAAAAGAGAAAATTTTCAAAGCAGCATTATTCTTAATAGAAAAATTTTAAACCATTCAAATATCTTTTAACAGGAGATTGGATAAATGGGATACTCATACAATGACCTAGTACATAGCATTAAAAATTACTATGCCAGCCAGGTACAGTGGTGCATTCCTATAATCTCAGCAGCTGAGGAGGCTAAGGAAGGAGTATTGCAAGTTCAAAGCCAGCCTCATCAACTTAGCGACTCTCCTAAGCAAATTACTGAGATCCTGTCTCAAAATCTAAAAAAAATAATAAAGACTGGGGATATAGTTCAGTGGTTAAGCACCCCTAGGTTTAACCCTGGTACAACAAAAAGAAAGAAAATTAAAATAAAATAACTATGCCTACATGTAAATAAGTAAATAAGTATATGAATCCCATGAACATAATACTGATCCAAAAGATACAGCACAAAGCAATGCAAACTGTATGATTCTCCCTATAAAAAGTTCAAAAACAGAAAAAACCAACAAATGATTTATAATTTAGGATAATGGTTGTCTTCTTGGAAGGTTAAAGAGAAGGGTGGGACTCTGAGATGCTATTTTTTGTTCTGGTATACATGGGTCTATGTGTGGGTCTATACTTGGTTTGTGGGCCTCTGTCCATGCACGTCTTATTTCTTGATTTAAAAGAGTTAAGGGGAAACAGACTGTACCTTCACAGTTCCTCTA